CGGCTGGTGGGGTGGTCGTTGCTGCCGACGCAGCTGTTGCTGGCGCCACTCTGGCCGTCGTTGTTAGGGCGGGTGGTGGTGAAATAGCATAAGCCATTCTTTCTCTACCAAAAAATGCCTGGCCGTTTAATTCTCCATCCGTCATCACCTTTGTCTCCATTTAACACTACCGGCAGATCCATATATGATATGAGCGGATTGAATTGTGTTCAACCGGTAAGGTGCAGCAAGAACGGGTTGGTGAGGGGGCAGGAGACAAGAGTCTGGATGTTCAGAGCGGCTGTTTGCGTAAAAAGACGCATAAAGTATGTTGACTGGGCCGCCTAGAGGCCCCTCGACTTTGACACATGTTTTTGGTAAAAGCAAAGGATGTATTTTACTGCCTTTTCCCACAATTCCTCTAATCTAGTGCAATGCAGTAGGCAATTTAGGGTCTGGCAAATCGATATCTAACAACACGGATGTGAGCTCCATATCGTGAACGCGCTATCCAATTTGCTTTTCTCCTGTAGAACATTTACCCGATAAAGGTCAAGCGGAACTCCCCCAAGCGCCTCGGGTGGGTACTGTGATACCTAAACCATAATACTAATACTACTACATTTAATTAAGTAGCGTGTTTTGTTAACATTGGAGTAACAGCTGCATAAATGACATTGTGTTAGTGCGGCTATTTGTCGTTATTTCGAAAATCCCGCCTTGTTTTAGCAGTTATGTTTTCTTATTAGTGTTATGCTTTTTTTACACATAAGCTTCCTTCGCTGGAGATCCCAGTTTAAAGGCAGTCTTCAGAGGCATTGCCTACTACCCTAAATATACTGAACTATACTGAACTAAGTACCTGTTATGCAATCCTCTGCCTGCTTCCCGGAACTCAACTGTTTGCTACCTATCGGACGAGCCAAAATGGAAGCACACAAAACGTTTATTGAATTTAGCAATTAAAACCAGGTGAACGACGGTCCTGCAATACCCAGCAACCGTGACTTATGTGTCCGTTTTCCAACTTCCAAGTCAAGTAGGGGATGTCAACTGCCTGCGCATATTCAAGACGCTCTGCGGCCTCCTGCGTGGGAGTGTTTAGAAGAAGGAAGCTTACGATCTTTGATGGGCCGACATTATTTCAGACCTAAGAAATTGAATTGATTTACCGGCCTACGGCTTTCGTCCCCTCTGCGAACCCTGGAAAGCGGACCACTGTTTATGTAAAGATACTGAGAGGTCAATGTTGACGAAATATTTGCCATTGTCCCAGGCAATAATTGAGAAGAAGACTATTCGATCGCTGGGACAACACTTTTGTCAATGGACTTCTCTACATACATAGGTTATGCATTCACCACCGTTGTTGTGATCAATAGGTGACGGGATAGTTACCTGGTAAAGGTAAAGACGAACTAGCCAATCGTCAGCGAACGGGATCAGGTGCTCACGTTCAATGAACGTCTAAACAGTGTCTTCAATGACATACAATGATGGAGGAGGAGGAAGAGGAGGAAGAGAACAGCCAGCTGGCCTTCCTTGATGTCTGTCGCAAAGATTGTGGTGGCCTATAGATTAAAGTATTTGGGAAAGCGACAAACACGATGCAAGTACTAAACAACAACAGTAACAACCCAATTAGCCAAAAATTCAGTTGCGTAAAGACGCTCTTTTGGCGTGTTGGACGCACGGCACCGAACCAGAAGACAAAGTTGCCGAAGTACAATAACTTCGACGGGTGTTCAGAGAAAATGTCTACGGGCGCAACTATGTGCCTGCATAGACGAGATGGCCAAGAAAATCACAGCGACCACAAAATTTGGCGAGTGACCCCGTTCGTCAAAAAGGTCTCGGAGGCCGTCGGCCGCTTTTTCGCACCACTTGGATTTGGAGTCGCATACAGGCCGGAGGAAACCGTCAGACGTCAGACAATGAAACCGAAAGAGTCGCACACAGGCCGAAAGCAACCATAAGGCGTCAGATAATGAAACCGAAAGACCCAATGCCACGGCAAGAAACATCTGGGGTCGTCTACAGGATCTGGTGCAGTTGCGGACAAAGCAAATGTTTCGTAGAAACTGGCAGTCCTCTCGAGGCGCGAATTATCAAACGTACGGTAGCAGTGCGGCGAAAGGATGCCAATTCTAAATTTGTGGCTCATTCGACGAAACCTGGCCACACATTCACATTTGACGAGACTGAAATTCCCGCAAGAGGTGACAATTGAGTGAGCCGGGAATTACTTGAGCCATGGTTCACGGCCCCAATCCATAAACAAGTGCAACGATTTATCCAAAGCAGTTGGCCACTTGGGGAACGCACAGGCCACCACGCCATTTTCCACCAACAACGGAGCGCCAGATGGCCAAGCAATCACCACATCCGAGTCCACCACGCGTGATGAAAGTTCAACAAGTTGGAGCCAGCATGACTGTTAGCAAATTATCAACGCGCAAGAAGGCAATTACCGTTAATTGCCGTTATACGTTTGCAGTAATGACTGTATTCTATACCTACTGCAAATTCCTATGCATATTTTATCTGTTTCTGCTTTAGTTTTCAGCCTATCTCTTTGATGATGAATCCGCAACAGATATTGAAACGTTGGGCGAATAAAAGTGTTGTCTCAGCGATCGGATTATCTTCTTCTTCTCACATTTGCCGTTAGTGACTAAATGCTACGCACAAAATAGGAACGCACTTCCACTTTATGTAAAGCTCACTATGGAAGTGGATCCGAGGAAGCAGGTTTCTTTGCGTTAACTAGACGAATGCCTACCGACTTGAGTATTCGGGTTACCGATAAGTAGAGCAATGGTCCACTACATCGAAAACGAAACTAAACCTCGCTGCTATACAGTAGCTTGACTCATTTCCCTCTTTCTTATGTCCATCGAAATTCTGAAATGTAGTTTGGATTTGAAAACCTTAATTAATTATGGTTGTTAGACTGATTATCGAGCAGCCTTATACCAACATATTTCAGTTACGCTATGATGTCGGCTTTTGGAACAGTTTCTTTCTGACCGTCTGCGAAGACTATGTTCTATAAAAACTGGCTACCTATTTAACGTGCACGTTTTTCATTGATAAGCATGAGCATCAGCTCGCAATCAACCGCGAAGATAAGCTGTCTATGGTCTATGAACACGTACGGCAGAATAAGCACACCTTCGCCTTCGACAATGCAAGGGTAATAGGCCGAGCCAATGAAAAGATGGCTAGACTCCTGCGGGAGAGTCGGTCTTCGACCGGCACACTTAACAGAGCCATATACCTTCATCCTGCCTACTAGGTGGTACGCAAACGGCTCCAGTCAGTTCGAACAAGGCCAACAGGAAAGCAAAATAAACTCGAGTGTGGTAAAAGGGCTTTTAAAAGTAAATTTGAAAATGCATAATGCGTAGGTAGCCATTGTTACACAACATTATTTTGCATGCAGTCAGAAAGAAGCCCGTTCAAAAGCCGGCATCCAATCCTGACTAAATTGTGTTGAGATTAGAATACATGACCATCATTCTTTCAATAATACTTCATTAATACGTTTGAATCGAAAACCCATTTCAGAATTTAGACTGGCACTTCAGGAACTAGGGAGTCTACTGTACGCTGGGTTCCGACCGTCTCGAGAGTTGTCAATCGCCGCAACCCTTTAGGGCTACCGAATCGGAATTCATAGTCAAACCAGCCCAGATCCCGACGGATAAGACCGCAAATGAAAAGTATTTTCTAGACCGTGGCTACAGTCCTTCGCGCCGCTCAAGATACTTCGTGAAAATATTTTAGGGCCAAAAGACGTTCCCTTCTTAAATAAATTAAATCAAGCATTTTATAGCGCACCTTCACCGCAGTCGCAGGTGACAGCTTGGAACAGAAATGCGCGAAAATCGCGGTCGCTCTGTTGAAGCTTACTTCTGACGGCAAGCTGTACCGTGTCGTGCGGACGAAACAGACCTCGACTCTGAAGCCGTTGCAATCGAGATGACAGTTTAATGCAGGTACAAGCAGCGTGCATGTCAAGAGCCGGTCAATGCAGCCGCAACATTAGCCACCCTGATGGCCCATTTGGTTTCGTGAACCTACCTCGTGGAGGTGTGAGACTGTGAGGACCATCAATTATCACCAGCGCGGAAAGGCGAGAAGAAACTATGAGGGGTCCCCCTATTCGCACCCACAAATGGCACGTTTGATCCACGTGCCATACGGCAATGCACCTTCATGCTACATGCTGAGAGCTGTGAAAACTGCTGGCCGTACGTGACACTTGAAACAACCTGAAAACACCAAGGCACCCCCCGGGCGGGTGACGTACTTCCTCCTCTCGGTGGTGTGGGAACGGTTAGAAATTTTGGCGCAGGAGAGGACTGACGCGGACATCGTTAGACAAAATATTAACAACAATATTTCCATAATTAAGGCCAAGGGGCCCCGTCATTACACACTAAGTGCTATGCGCCAAGACTCGAGGTCCAGATATCTTATCGTTTTCATCATCCCCCAAAAAAGACGAAGAGAAAGGTTCAAGGACATGGACCGAGTTATATTGGT